AGGGGAGGGGAGGGGAGGGCAGGGGAGGGGAGGAGAGGGGAGGGGAGAGAAGGGGAGGGGACCAAACTCAGCAGCAGAGATAGACTCTGGCTTTGAGAAACACACCACCTTGACCTGGTAACAGAATTGCTCACAGGCTTCAGAAGAATGCTAAGATGTTACATTAGAAAAATACTGAGCTTTAGATCACCAGAAATATAGTATAGGCCACAGAATAAATATAGAGATAAAAGGCCTGGAAAAAAAAGTAAAAACAAAATCTTTACCAATATTTATAGATGTTTCCTTAGATACGAATATAAATGGGCTGCCATATAGCAGATGTTAACGCTGAAACGTGAAAATTACTTCACTTTGTACATCCCTCTGTTGACAGACTCTGGGGAAGAAAGGAAAGGTCTTCCAAGAGTGTGATTCATCGTGAAGCTCTGAGCAGCATAATTTCTATCTATGTAGGAGTTATTTTTACATAATTCATTTGTTTCAATTTTTTGGATCAATAGTCTATTGTAATTTTTAAAATTTTAAAGATATAACCAGCCATCAGAAGCTAAAAAGGGGTTCTTAGCAAATTATCGGTTTTGTTTCAAAGAGTTGTACTTAGGAATGTTAAAGTCTTTATGTACTGCTTTCCAAAATGTTGCTTTAAGAACTTGTTTTAGTTGTTGGTGAAATTCCTTATCATGTTGTACTCAACTTCCTATTTAAACAAGATTGGTTAGAACCAGGTGAGAGTCAACTTTAAAAATCTTTTCTCATTCTTACACAAAGCAGTCATTATGAGAGGTTTATGCTGTTAATGGCTGACAGTGTACCCTCAAGAGTACAGAGAAGACCAGGTTCTCGATTTGGCTGACCTATTTGCTAAGCTCTATGATCTGAAGCAAACTGCTTAACATCAGTCTCAGATTCTTAATTTGTAAAAATGAGAACAACATTAGCTACCTCAATAGCTTTTGTAAGAGGATGTAGTTTCTAAACTTGAATTTCTTCCAGTAAATAAAAACAATTTTACATCCTCTTCACAAAGACTGAATGAAGTTTAATTAACTCCTTTTGGGAACATTATCATACAAACCAGGAACATTTTGACCTTTCAATCTGTCTTAATGCATTAGGTTTAGGTATGGGGGGGGTGTATTCGCACACTGTATAGAGGTCTGGGTGGCTATTTTGATAACCTGACACCCATTCTTGCTCCTTTTATTATAAAGTGTAATATTACTAAATATTAGCTAAACTACTCAGTTTCCCAGAACTCCTTGTATCAAGTTGTAGCTACAACACATGGAGGCATAGCACTATTCCTACCATTCCATCTCCTTTCTGCTGTGAATACAGGATTGGTTCTGTAGTGGTCATCATTTGACTTTAAAAGAAAGGCAAACGTGGCCCTCCCTAGTGGCACAACGGGTTAGGACACAGCACTGCAAGCTAGCTGCAGCTAGTGCAAGTCTGGTCCCCGGCCCCAGCAGTGACCCACATAGCCCGGCAGACCTCTCCTGACCCGCCCGCACCCCTCCCGACCCACCTGCTGCTCCCCTCAGCAGTGTACTTCACCAGTCGGCCTGTTCTGCTCCCCACTCTGTCTCTGGTGAAGGCTCGCACTATCCCTGCACCTCTGGCTTGTACCCCAGTTCTGTATGAATAAATAAATCTTTAAAAAAAAAGGCCAGAGCATCTCAGAGACTTCTGCCTGCCATCATTAAGCTGCTGAGCCAACAGTAGCAATCAGTCACTTTTTCTGTTCAATATTTTTCTCTTTCTTGAAGTGTTCCTATTATGGAGTCAACATTGATTCTATACATTTATGAAAGGCAAACAGATCTGTTCTTCCTATTATAAGATTCCATCTTAAAAAATGGAACTATGAGCCCTCCTTGATGGCGCAGCCGGTTAAAGCGCAGCACAAAGAAGCTTAAGCCACTTCCCCATGAGTTCGATTCTCGCCTGCCCCGGAGGTGATCCTCATGGCATGGCATACCTCTCCTGACCCGCCCGCTGCTCCCCTCAGCAGTGTACTTCATCGATCTGCCTGTTCTGCTCTCCACTCTGTCCCTGGTGAATCCTCTCACCCTCCGCATGTCTGGCCTGTACCCCAGTTCTGTACAAATAAATAAATAAATCTTTAAAAAAAAAGTGTTCAA